TGAGTTTTGTAAAGCCCCAGCCTCGCTCTCCGCTCGCCCTGATGGGAGAAAGAAACCGCTGGTCACTTTGCCTGGAATTGCGCAGGGAAGATGCTCTGGCCCCTCGTTTTACCGCTCTCTGCTCGGGAGGGGAAATATTGTCCCCATGCTGAGGCTGAGAACCCCTAAAATGCACCTCTGAACCCCGCAGAGGGGCCGGGGGTTGCGTGAGAGCTTCCCCCGGGACGCGGATGGCATCATTTTATTATTATTTGCATATAAAAGAAATGAATAGATTTAGGAGGGGGTTAAAGGGAGGGGGGGGCACCGATTTGTGCGGATCCTCTGAAATCTCCGGGCAGGAAAATGCAGCATGGGTGGGGGGTGGGGGGAAGGGGATGGAAAAACCAACCCTCTGGACTTTATATTATTGTGTATTTATTTGTTGCGTAATTCATGTGGATTTGCTAAATGCTAAGCTCTATATTAAACAAAAAACCAAACCCACCCAAGGCGAACCCCAATTTGTACATCTCTGTCTAAATGCAGTCCATTGCAGGAACTTCTTTTCTTTCTGACCCTCCCCAATGGTGTACTCGGTATATTTATGAGTTGTCGTTTCGTCTGCGAGAGGGTGATGAAACTTCTATTTTGGTCATATGGAATAAACGGTGAATACTCCGGAAGTTGGGCAGATATTTCTGTGCTCCCTCCCCTGCCTTGGGGCATCTTTCTGCTCCTCTGCTACTTGGGCAAAGTATTGATTTTAAGAGGTTATCATTTATTTCTTTTAAAGCAAAGCAGATTTCAGGGAGGAGGAAGGGATGCTTTAGCTTAGAGCACCCTTCTCCCCCCACCCTGGAAAAGGTACGTGCTGCTTTTCCTATTTCCCAGAGAATGGGAAAAGGGGGAAAAATGGGTTTTAATTCAGTGATGAAATGCTGGCTGGGCCCTGAGGAAGGTGAGCTGCTCCCTGTCCCAGCTCGTACTTGTCTATCTTCCTTTATTTAGCTCAGGCTTTCCATTCCAGGCTGGGCTCCTCGCATGGCAGATGGCATTTTAATCGGAATATGGGGTTAAAATGACCTTCTCTCCCTATTTCTCTCCCCTCCCCCTCGCTCTTCTCCCCAGTACTTGGTATAAAATCATTTTTGCCCCCCAAATCTCCCACCATCTGAGTGTTGGGCTGCACCTGACTGTGGGGAGGAGGTCCCAGTGCCTGACTGGAGGTGACTGGGATGGGGGTCTCTATTGGGTGATGGCACCAGGCCCTGTTGACCCCACTCACCTCGAAGGGAGCAGTCCTTAAGGAGGCTGAAGGGGGAGAAGAGGGGCTGCACCCCCCTTCTTGGCTTTTAAATGTATTTATATTGCTTTTTAAGGTATACATATATTATTTAATATACATGATATTTTATTTTAATATGGCATTATATATTGTTTTAGATACT